GAGGAGCTGAGGTTCAGGCTGGGTTTGGAAGGGCTCAGGTTCAGGCTGGGTTTGGAGGAGCTCAAATTGATGCTGGGTTTGGATGGGCTCAGGTTGATGCTGGGTTTGGAGGGGCTCAGGTTGATGCTGGGTTTGGAGGAGCTCAGGTTTAGTCTGGGTTTAGAGGAGCTCAGGTTGATGCTGGGTTTGGAGGAGCTCAGGTTTAGTCTGGGTTTGGAGGAGCTCAGGTTGAGGCTGTTTGTCGGGAGCTCAGGTTGAGGTTGAGTTTGTAGGGAGCTCAGTTTTAGGCTGGGTTTGGAGGAGCCCAGGTTCAGGCTGGGTTTGGAAGGGCTCAGGTTCAGGCTCGGTTTGGAGGAGTTCAGGTTCAGGCTGGGTTTGGAGGAGTTCAGGCTGGGTTTGGAAGGGCTCAGGTTCAGGCTGGGTTTGGAAGGGCTCAGGTTCCATCTGGGTTTGGAGGAATTCAGGTTCAGGCTGGGTTTGGAGGAATTCAGGTTCAGACTGGGTTTGGAGGAGCTCAGGTTCAGGCTGTTATGTGGCAAATAAGTTGCGCTCGGTCTAGTTGTGAATGGATGTGAAAGTGCTCTCTCAAAACCCAAAGGGTGGAGATCACCTTCAGATAACAAAATAAATTTTAAATATAAAGTAGATGTCTCCACTAGTGATAGTGAACTAATGTTTGAAGATGCAGAACTCAACCCGGTGGTACTCGAGTGTATTGTATGTGTGTCGTGGGTTTTAACTGGCTAAACAAATCAGTTATATTGAAAACATCCATAAAGGCATAATCATAAAGCAATAATATGTGAGAAAACAGTGAATAAAAGCACCTATATATAAAATCCAGTAAATAGTTAAACAACAAGGTTCAGGCTGGGTTTGGAAGGGCTCATGTTCGGGCTGGGTTTGGAGGAGTTCAGGATCAGGCTGTGTTTGGAGGAGTTCAGGTTTAGGCTGGGTTTGGAAGGGCTCAGGTTGATGCTGGGTTTAGAGGAGCTCAGGTTTAGGCTGGGTTTGGAGGAGCTCAGGTTGAGGCTGGGTTTGGAGGAGCTCAGGTTCAGGCTGGGTTTGGAGGAGCTCAGGTTCAGGCTGGGTTTGGAGGAGTTCAGGTTTAGGCTGGGTTTGGAGGAGCTCAGATTGATGCTGGGTTTGGAGGAGCTCAGTTTCAGGCTGGGTTTGGAGGAGCTCAGGTTCAGGCTGGGTTTGGGGGGGCTCAGGTTCAGGCTGGGTTTGTATGGAGCTCAGGTTCAGGCTTTGTTCGGAGGAACTCAGGTTGATGCTGGGTTTGGTCTGAACCTGAGCTCATCCGTATGTGTCAACCCTTTGTATGTGTATTGTGCGTTCCTTGTACGTGTCTTTCCTTTTCACCTGCAATCAGCACGCATCTTATTATGCTCACCTCTTATCTTTAATATTGTTTGCTTTTCACGAGATGTAATAAAACCATTAGATAGCTTACGTGATTGTTGATGAAATATTACAGCGTCAAGCTAGGTGAACAAACACAGGCTGGGAAATCAATCCTTGAACTGCATTGTTAACTGGACCCAGGTACACTCTGAGTATGAGTCATCGTCGCCACCATTGAAGATAAAGGACGGTGACCATGGAAATGTTTGACAAGAATTGCTCACACTTGTAAACACGGTTGTCTGGCGTGTAATCTGGATTTCCTTCATGGGTCATAACAAGTAATACTCTGGTAAGGGAGCAGGCTGTCCTCATATGCTCTACATATCGGCCATCTATATAAGTCAGCCAAGAAGTGAAAGCGCCAAATGAGTTTAATAGGTCCAGTGGGTTTTCTCAAAGTGAGAATCAAAGGGGTAGCTAACGCATTTCGGGAGGCTCACCAGTCCCCCTTCTTCGGGGCCTGTAGTTGCAGAACTAAAGACTATGTCTGACCGGCACCTTCAACAAGTCTTCTATATGCATGCTATTAGATTCTTTTAAACCATTTCATTCTAATCCTGTGTGCTATCATGTCTTCTTATTCTGCAACTACAAGCCCTGATGAAGGGAGGGCTGGAGAACCCGAAACGCTTTGGATACCCCTGGGACCTTCACCTAGGAGCAGGACCTATTAAAGGCAAAGTTATCCTTTTTCAACAAAACCTCTTCACCTCCCCTGTTCCCTGTGCCGCTTATCTGTCATGATGTCCCTCTGAAGGAGGAGCTCAGATTCAGGCTTGGTTTGGAGGATTTAGGGCGGAGCCAACCCAATACTGAACCCTACGGACTAAGACTGGGATCCCATTAAAGTTCATGTGCGTGTAAAGGCGTCCCAATACTTTTGGCAATATAGTGTATATTATAAAATCAAACTGGTCTCAGATAAACCAATTGCAAGTCAGATGATACTTTGTTACCTTTTAATCTGCTTTCCTGAGATTGATTTCCGCCATTACTGGAACATAATTTCGGTTTGAGGACTTGCAGGCTTTCTCAGCAGACAGCTGGGAGATCTGTCACAGGATGGCTCTGCAGATGTTGGGTGACTATATTAGGACATGATTTGATCTGCGGCTCGGGCTCTGCGTCTGGAAAATATTCCGAGGGAGAGAACGCAGAGAAGAATGAACAAGCTGGATACACAGGGAGAGGGAGTTGCTTCAGGCTTTGCGCACAATGCAGCTCTGTATTCATTGACACATCCTTAAATGTATTTTTATTTAATACAAGCAGTGTAATTACCTGAACGTGACCTGGTATCAGCCTCTTGCTTATAGAGCAGGGCTGGAGTGTGAGAGGAAGAAGCAGCACAAGCAGCCAGTTAGTTCCTGTGCTGACAAGGAGCATGTTGATAGGAGAGAAGTGTGACCGAGAGATGAGCTCACCAGTGTGCTGCTTTTCTTTTCACTTTCCAGCCAAAGGCTGGGGGCATGTCCGGGCTGACCTGGGCTGAGTTTAATGACAGAGGGATGAGCTCATCGCTGTGCTGCTTCTCCTTTTTACTCTCTAGTCACAGGGTGGGGGCATGTCCGGGATGACCTGGGCTGTGTTTAATGACAGAGAGATGAGCTCATCGCTGTTCTGCTTCTCCTTTCACTGTCCAGTCACAGGGTGGGGGCATGTCTGGGCTGACCTGGGCTGAGTTTAATGACAAAGAGATGAGCTCATCGCTGTGCTGCTTCTCCTTTTTACTGTCTAGTCACAGGGTGGGGGCATGTCCGGGATGACCTGGGCTGAGTTTATTGATAGAGAGATGAGCTCATCGCTGTGCTGCTTCTCCTTTTTACTGTCTAGTCACAGGGTGGGGGCATGTCCGGGATGACCTGGGCTGAGTTTATTGATAGAGAGATGAGCTCATCGCTGTGCTGCTTCTCCTTTCACTGTCCAGTCACAGGTTGGGGGCTTGTCCGGGCTGAGTTTAACGACAGAGATGAGCTCATCACTATGCTGCTTCTCCTTTCACTGTCCAGTCACAGGTGGAGGGCGGGTCCGGGGCCGACCCGGGCTCAGAGGAAGCCGGTGGAATGATGCTGGCCATCAGCTGGAGGACATCTAGTGGCAGAAAAGGCCATTAGGACTATCTAATTTACAACATGGTGTATAGTGTGGAGAAGTCAGCACTAGGTAACATACAACATTGTGTATGAAGTGCAGGGGTTAGGACTACGTAACATACAACAAAGTGTATAGTGTGGGGAAGTCAGGACTGGGTAACATACAACATTGTGTATGTAGTGCAGGGGTAGGACTAGGTAACATACAACATTGTGTATGAAGTGCAGGGGTTAGAGCTATGTAACATAGAACAAAGTGTATAGCGTGGGGAAGTCAGGACTGGGTAACATACAACATTGTGTATGCAGTGCAGGGGTAGGACTAGGTAGCATACAACATAGCATATGTAGTGCAGGGGTTAGAACTATGTAACATACAACAAAGTGTATAGCGTGGAGAAGTCTAGACTAGGTAACATACAACATTGTGTATGTAGTGCAGGGGTAGGACTAGGTAGCATACAACATAGCATATGTAGTGCAGGGGTTAGAACTATGTAACATACAACAAAGTGTATAGCGTGGAGAAGTCTAGATTAGGTAACATACAACATTGTGTATGTAGTGCAGGGGTTAGAGCTATGTAACATACAACAAAGTGTATAGCGTGGGGAAGTCAGGACTGGGTAACATACAACATTGTGTATGCAGTGCAGGGGTAGGACTAGGTAACATACAACATAGCATATGCTGTGCAGGGGTTAGAACTATGTAACATACAACAAAGTGTATAGCGTGGAGAAGTCTAGACTAGGTAACATACAACATTGTGTATGTAGTGCAGGGGTTAGGACTATGTAACATACAACAAAGTGTATAGTGTGGAGAAGTCAGGACTAGGTAACATACAACATTGTGTATGTAGTGCAGGGGTTAGGACTATGTAACATACAACAAAGTGTATAGTGTGGAGAAGTCAGGACTAGGTAGCATACAACATTGTGTATGTAGTGCAGGGGTTAGGACTATGTATTGCCCCGGGTTTGGTCTGAACCTGAGCTCATCCCAGTTGATGAACTCCCGCACATTACCCTGGCACCCGGCCCCATTGCTGCCACCTGGAGGGTTAAAACGAAATTGCTGGCAGGTAAGTTGAAGAGGCAGAAGATACCTAGATATCTCCACTCTCCTTTACTAGAAGGCCCTGCATGCTGGCAAATTCTCAATTTTAAGCTTCATAGGTGGGACTGGATGGACCTGTGTTTTTTCTTCAACCTTATCAACTATGTAACTACTTTGGCCAATGCGATGCACATCAACACCCGCCCAAAGATGTACATGGTCCGTCATCATCTATACCTTGTGCCGTGAGTAGACACCATCTCGGAGATGGGCACCAGGCGGGAACTGAGCAGATGTTGTTTTGGCCACTAATTAGGTCACCCATTGGCAGCTCGGCAAACCGACACATTTCCTCCCTCCCTTCAGACCTCCCAGAATCCTCTTATCTCCTTCTGTGAGATTAGCTGTAAACTAAGGGAATCAGGATTTTGGATTACAGCAACATGCCATGGACGGAGCAGAGTGGCCGGCAGGAGCTCATTTCAAGTAAGTTCCATTTTTGTTTTATTTATTGTACTCAACCCAATGTACAGAAATGTAAAGGTGCCAAATATTCTCAGTGTCCGTGTGTTTACAGATATAGAACACCAAACAGTGACAGTCCCTTGTGAATCCTTGTACACGCATGTGGTTTATAACATATAACCTAGGGCGTAGCTATGCGTGTAATCCTTGTACACGCATGTGGTTTATAACATATAACCTAGGGCCTATAACATATAACCTAGGGCGAACCTAGGGCAACACTGTCCTAATGAAGGTTTAATAGGAAAGGGATAGATGAATCGTACCTTTCACAACCAATGACAATGACACTTGAGTCTAACGATGGCACAAAGTCCACCAGTCACCAACCCTGGCCTCACCACAAGTGTCATGCCCAAGCACTTACTTCTAGGGTGTAATTTTAGCAATAGCACATCATGGAACCACTATGGGGCCCCAGCAGAACGGGGGCCCAAGACTGTAGAGATTAACCATACTTTTCCCTCTGACAATGACCCTTGATTCTAACGATGACACAAAGTCCACCAGTCACCATAGGCAATCAAGCCTGGCCTCACCACAAGTGTCATGCCCAAGAATTTACACCTAGGGTGCAACCCTAGCAGCAAACCATGCAACGACTATGGGGCCCCAGGAGAACTGGGGCCCAAGACTGTATAGATTAATCATACTTTTCCCAATCTCTGACAATGACCCTTGATTCTAACGATGACACAAAGTCCACCAGTCACCATAGGCAATCAAGCCTGGCCTCACCACAAGTGTCATGCCCAAGAATTTACACCTAGGGTGCAACCCTAGCAGCAAACCATGCAACGACTATGGGGCCAGGAGCAGCTGGCGGCAGATGTTGTTTTGGCCAATGACAATGACCAAATGAAGGTTGAAAAGGAAAGGGATAGATTAATTGTACCTTTCACAATCACTGACAATGACACTTGATTCTAACGATGACACAAAGTCCACCAGTCACCAAAGGCCATCAGCCCTGGCCTCATCACAAGTGTCATGCCCAAGAACTTACTCCTAGTGTGTATCTTTAGCAATAGCAAGCCATGTAACCCGTATGGGGCCCAGGGAGAACTGGGGCCCAAGACTGTCTACCTACGTAATAATTTGTACAGGTTGTGACAGCCTTTGGCAAATACATTAGGATAGGCCCAGTGTACTTACAATGTTGCAAGACAGAAAAAATGGTCACCAGCACTCCAAGTTCTCTTCACAACGAGATCCTTTTATTCATTGTAGCCGGTCATATGAACATGCGTGGCAACGTTTCCGAACCTGTCCGGTCCCTTCATCGGGCAAACAAAAGTGACTAAATCACAAAATCCCTTTTGTTTGCCTGCTGAAGCGACCCGACCGGACAGGTTCGGAAACGTTGCCACGCATGGTGATATGACCGGCTACAATGAATAAAAGGATCTCGTTGTGAAGAGAACTTGGGGTGCTGGTGACCATTTTTTCTGTCTTGCAAGTATTTGGCGGCGCCATCCGCGGCCACTTCTTCAGCACCCCCCCCATCCCCCCCCGTCCCCGCATTGTATGGGGCTTCTCGGCCAGGATTGCAGTGGGACTCTCTATTTGGCTTACAATGTTGGGAACCTCTATAAGGTTAAAGGAGAACTATGAGGGGGGTGCATTTCACTCCTTCTCATAGTTCTAGGCGACCTGTGACAATGAGACTGTCACAGGTCGGCTCAGTAGATCGGGAGGTGAGCGAACACATACCGGCGTTCGCTCACCTCTCGATCCTGTCACGGCTCCCTGCACGCATTCCCCCCTCCCCGCTCCGATCCGCCAGCGCTGACTGGTGGAACGGACGGGGGAGAGGGGGCGGGTACAGCTGGCTCTGCCTCTAGATAGGCGGAGCCAGCTGTCAGTCACACAGCTGGCCGGATCCCGACACAATTGTCGGGATCCGCTTCAGCTGCGGCGTCTCAGTATACCGCGAGGACGCTAGTTTGTGTCCTCCCGTTACCCTAATGAGAACTATGGGGAAAAGCCCTGACCACATAGTTCTCCTTTAAATACCAAGACAAAAAGGATTTTGTATTGCAAGAAGTATTGCTTTGAGGATGGAGGGGAGAGAGCAACGGGCTACTAAGTTGGCTACATATAATATAATATTTATAATAATAGGAGGTATATATACATGGGTTAGAGTAGTCGTTATGGATACTAGGTTGGGTATACACTGGTAGATACCAACGTTAATACGCAAAATCCCATCAGAACATTCGATGATGTCATCATTGACTTGACAAATTTCCTTCTAAACCTTGTTTGGTTTTAACTAGGGATGCACCGATACCAAGTACTAGTATCAGTACCGGTGCCGATACCGAGTATTTAGGTGAGTACTTATCCTGATACCGGAACTTCTGCTCAGAAGGAGATTTCCTCTGACCGGCACTGCCGTGAGGGAACATGGTGCCGGCTTCCCGGCCAATCAGGAAGCTGGGCCGCAGGTAATGACTTGCTGCTCTGCTTCCTGTTTGACCGGGAAGCTGGCTCCATGCTGTTTGGTCGGCTTGATGCTGATTGGCTGGGATGGGTTTCCATGGCCGAGCAGCTACATCCAAGCCTTACATCACCAAGTGCAATGCAAAGCGTGGGATGCCGTGGTGTAACGCACGCCGCTTATTACTATTTTATATACAGTATATATTATATATTTCTAAACAAAATGTTTCATTAATTTCTCAATAAAACCCGGCTAAGGCTTATTGATCAGTGAGCTTTGCTGTGCTTTGAGTCTATAAGCTTTGATACAAATTGTAAAGCCCTGATGAAGAAGGATCTCCTGGCCCCCGATACACGTTGGCTTTCTCTTTACGATTTGGGCTTTTTTGGCACAATGATACGCGGATTTCAAAAATTGGGTGACCCCGTATCTACTGTGGGGGGTCCACTGCTTTGTGAAGAGCTGCTGAACCCAAGCCATTAGGCCCAACTAAGGACTCGTTTCTTATAGCAAAAGGATCATTGTTAGGTGCCTCTACTTTTCTTAAAGTGCAAGTGAAGACCATTTTTTTTAAACTTCTGGATAGACCCCCCTGTCAGGTTTTTATTGTTGTCTGTGACCCCAGTAGGGAGATTCACCTCCTCTTTTTTGTCCTGGTTGACCCGTTATCAGTGAAAGTGATAGAAAATAACACATTTTGGGTTGTCCCCGGAACAGGAATAGAGGGGAAATCTTCCAATGGGGGGACACTAGTTCTGGATTTCCTTCTCTTTGGAAGGATTTTCCCTTCACTTCCTGTTGTGGCTGTCGGACAGGAAGTGGAGGGAAATCTCAGTACTTTAAATACATGTTTATAAAATATGAATGTTCTTTTTTCTGATCAGGCATTGGAAAATGTTCCATCTGTTTTCCCACTGTTGGCATTGTATACAGAAGAAGCACGAGCCAGTCAGGTAAGGAAAACGCTGACATACGATTGGTCCCTTTTATAAAGGAAGAAAAAGTTCCCTTATTATAAAATGTTTGTATGTGACCCTATCAGATTCCTAAAATCCATGCTCTGCCCATGAGGTCCCCTGGGCATGACCGGGGGGTCCCGTTATATCATGCACAGTGTGGACTGGAAATGATTTAGTATGACCTTGTATCATGGACCACAGCTACATTTTATATAGCTGGAAGCTGATTGGTTGTCAGGCACATCATATTCAGCTTGAAAGCATCTGGCCATAGTAGCCAATTGGCCGGATTTGCTAGGACCTCCCCCCATCCTCGGCCCCATTGATGGCGTCTGTGGGGCCGTGTCCCGGGATCACAGCTTCAACCTTATTTAGGTTACTGCACATGGACAGTAACTCAAAAAAAAAAATCAGATTTAGGGCCGTAAGTGGGCGGTCTTTAAATACTTAGAGGCGGGGTCTTGGCAGGTGGATGTGATGGGGGTGGGTCCTCACATATTTAGAAGAAGGGTCTGGGTGGGGCTGACTCGTTAAGTGGGCGTGATGGGCTGACACTGCAAATTTAGAGGAGGAGTCTGGGCGCAACCAACCAGAAAAGTGAATATAATGTGTGGTCCCTGCATAATTAGAGGAGGGGTCTGGGCGGGACCAACCTGAAAAGGGAATATTATAGGTGGTCCCTGCAAAATTAGAGGAGGGGTCTGGGCGGGACCAACCTGAAAAGGGAATATTATAGGTGGTCCCTGCATATTTAGAGGAGGGGTCTGGGTGGGACCAACCTGAAAAGGGAATATTATAGGTGGTCCCTGCATATTTAGAGGAGGGGTCTGGGTGGGACCAAGCTGTGAAGTGAATATTATAGGTGGTCCCTGCATATTTAGAGGAGGGGTCTGGGTGGGAACAACCAGAAAAGTGAATATAATGGGTGGTCCCTGCATAATTAGGAGCAGGGTCTGGGCAGGACCAAGCTGTGAAGTGAATATTAGGGGTGGTCCCTGCATATTTAGAGGAGCGGTCTGGGCGTGACCAAGCTGTGAAGTGAATATTAGGGGTGGTCCCTGCATATTTAGAGGAGGGGTCTGGGCAGGATCAACCGGAAAAGTGAATATTAGGGGTGGTCTCTGCATATTTAGAGGAGGGGTCTGGGTGGGACTAAGCTTTGAAGTGAATATTATGGCTGGTCCCTGCATATTTAGAGGAGGAGTCAGGGCGGGACCAACCTGAAAAGGGAATATTATAGGTGGTCCCTGCATATTTAGAGGAGGGTTCTGGGCAGGATTAACCGGAAAAGTGAATATGAGGGGTGGCTCCTGCATATTTAGAGGAGGGGTCTGGGAGGGACCAAGCTGTAAAGTAAATATTATGGGTGGCCCCTGCATATTTAGAGGAGGGGTCTGGGCGGGACCAACCTGAAAAGGGAATATTATAGGTGGTCCCTGCATATTTAGAGGAGGGTTCTGGGCAGGATTAACCGGAAAAGTGAATATGAGGGGTGGCTCCTGCATATTTAGAGGAGGGGTCTGGGCGGGACCAAGCTGTGAAGTGAATATTATGGCTGGTCCCTGCATATTTAGAGGAGGGTTCTGGGCAGGATTAACCGGAAAAGTGAATATGAGGGGTGGCTCCTGCATATTTAGAGGAGGGGTCTGGGCGGGACCAAGCTGTGAAGTGAATATTATAGGTGGTCCCTGCATATTTAGAGGAGGAGTCAGGGCGGGACAAACCTGAAAAGGGAATATTATAGGTGGTCCCTGCATATTTAGAGGAGGGGTCTGGGTGGGACCAAGCTGTGAAGTGAATATTATAGGTGGTCCCTGCATATTTAGAGGAGGGGTCTGGGAGGGACCAAGCTGTACAGTGAATATTATAGGTGGTCCCTGCATATTTAGAGGAGGGGTCTGGGTGGGACCAAGCTGTAAAGTGAATATTAGGGGTGGTCCCTGCATATTTAGAGGAGGAGTCAGGGTGGGACCAACCTGAAAAGGGAATATTATAGGTGGTCCCTGCATATTTAGAGGAGGGTTCTGGGAGGGACCAAGCTGTAAAGTAAATATTATGGGTGGTCCCTGCATATTTAGAGGAGGGGTCTGGGAGGGACCAAGCTGTGAAGTGAATATTATGGGTGGTCCCTGCATATTTAGAGGAGGGGTCTGGGAGGGACCAAGCTGTGAAGTGAATATTATGGGTGGTCCCTGCATATTTAGAGGAGGGGTCTGGGAGGGACCAAGCTGTAAAGTGAATATTATGGGTGGTCCCTGCATATTTAGAGGAGGGGTCTGGGAGGGACCAAGCTGTAAAGGGAATATTATAGGTGGTCCCTGTATATTTAGAGGAGGGGTCTGGGAGGGACCAAGCTGTAAAGGGAATATTATAGGTGGTCCCTGTATATTTAGAGGAGGGGTCTGGGCGGGACCAACTGGTAAAGTCGGTTTGATTTGGGCGCACCCATCCGCAAAGTCGGCGGATAAAGTGCGGGCAGTGGGTGGGGTTAACAGTGTCCCGGGATCCATGAGCATTATTGGTAAGTATGTATTAAGACTCAGCCTTTGGCCCCATGCCTTGACAACGTTCATGATAGCTGCAGCAGAGAACTAGCAGCGTGCAGCTGTGCACATTCCTAATGGTCAAATAGAAAGATTAGTCATGGAGTTATACTCAAGGTAACTGATGTTTAATTTGGTATTTTTGGTTTGTGAGTCATCATCATGAGTGAGAAACCTTTTCATCAATAAGTTGTGTTATAGTTATGTCATCGGGGTGAATATGGGGACTTTGTCTTGCAGGAATGTGACGATTCTCTTCATGGGGTTGGAAAATTCTGGAAAGAGTTCAGTGATAAGAGTCATTAAGAGAGGTAAGAATATAGAATGATATAATCCTATCCCACCTCAACCTAACCGCTCAACCATCACATTCTCAAACCATTCATCCCCACACAGATCCCTACTCATGTATCACTGACCCCTCCCCTTTTAGATTGTAAGCCCTCAGGGGCGGGCCCTCCTTACCATCTTGTCTTCAATTGTATTGTAACTGTAATGTCTTCTTTATATTGTAAAGCGCTGCGCACACTGTTGGCGCGCTGTTGGCGTGCTACAAATCCTGTATAATAATATATGTATTTTAGCATTTTAGTTTGCCGTAAACGGAACATTCACAGACATCTGGATATCTGTCAGTGTAAAGGTCACAATTTATTAGACAGCCGGAGACCTTTTTAAAAAACCGCTGAGGAGTAAAGTCCCTGATACACAGTAGACTAGTTGCTATGGGCAGCAAATTAAATAAATGTTCTCTATAACTAGACAACCAGGACATATAATTAATTCTATATTATCCACAAAGGGTTAACAGCACTCCCTGCTCCCTCCTGTACCTGCTCTCAGTAGTAGTCTATGTCCGCCCTCTCTGTGCAGCATGTAGCTTCTTCCTTCTTAGAGCCAAGCCTCGTTCTGAGTCTACTCTAGAGATCACATGACCTTCCTCCAGGAGGCAAGCCTCGTTCTGAGGCTACTCTAGAGATCACATGACCTTCCTCCAGGAGGCAAGCCTCACTCTGAAACTTTACCCACTGATATCTTACCGGTAAGGTTTACTCAGAGTAAACCTTTCAGGGAGAAAATGCCTCTCTCGCGGACATCAGGGAGCTGCTGTCCAAAAGAGGGAGACTCCCTGAACGTCAGGGAGACTTGAGATTCCTGCATTCAAACCCAATTCCAGGCTCCTTTCTCTCTCAGTGCCCCCTAAAGCCCTTGTAGGCCACCCAAGCTGTATGTCTTCAGGGAGGTCACATGACGTCATAGGGTCCTTTTCGCTTCTCTGGGATGAAGGTCCTTCAAGGATGCTAAGAGAGGCGCTGATATGATGATGCCAACGCCCCCTCTCTGGACCATTATGTGGTAATGGTGTGTTGCCATGGTGATGCCCCATTAGGGCGCAGGGCAATGACTCCCTACATTCACAGTTAGATTTTTTTGTTACGGGGTAATGCAAGGGTCAGCTCTGGATTGAAGGTGAGTACCGCTGTTGGTTTATTTTTTTGCATAGGCTGGGGGACCTTATTTAATAATAAGAAGAACAAGTCTAGGCCGGAGTTAGGCTTCAAGTCATCCGGGGGCACAAAAAAACAAAACTGAGTTTTGAAATATAACCTATGCCGTCCCAAAACCCGTAAAATCTATTCTAACTGCCCGGCTGTCTCTCTTTTCAGCTTATCCGTCTCAGACGTCTCCATCTTCTGATCCTCTGAAAACCCAACTTCGCCTCGACCACTTTAATCTGACTCTCCTTGAGCTGCCCAGTGGACAGAAGGCTAGAGCCAGCTGGAGGTTATATTACCCCCAAGCCCACGCCTTTGTCTTTTTAGTGGATTCCTGTGACCGCGGACGCTTACAGGAAGTGGCGAGTGTCCTCCAATGTATCCTGAAACACCCAGCAGTGTCCGGGAAGCCACTTTTAATGTAAGTTCTCCTGTGGAATGTTTGGCTTCCTTATTTCTCTTAGTTTTCTTAATTTTTGCATCACGTACACCCTTTGGTTCTCAACTGGTGGGTCGCGACCCCGTGTTCAGTGGGTCCCCGCGTGCCTTCCACTTTACTAGGTGAGGGGCTCCTCAGCCTCCCCCTAGCGCAGCACTGTCAGTTTTTGCGCCAAGCAGACATTCAAAATATGCCGCCCGGTGCTGAGTGTCAGCTTGACGTAAGGTGAGCTTTATCCATATGTGCATTGCTTACAGCTCCCTCGCATGTCCTGTAGAGGTGCCTGGACTAGTGTGATCAGGGCCGGATTTACTCTCCCTGCTACCACAAGGCCAGGTTCTGCAATGCGTCTGTAAATGTGGGTCCTGAGGTTACACAGGTTGAGAACCACTGATGTACACTGTAGGGCCACAAGTTTTTGGAGACCTGACCATCACACTTGTATGAGCTTTTCGGACATCCCGCTCCGGAACCATTGGCATTAATATGGAGTTGGCCTCCTCCTTTGTGGCCATAACAGCCTACACTCTCCTAGGAAGGCTTTTTACAAGATTTTGGAGTGTGTCTGTAGTAATATCTTTTTTTCCCCTTTCATTTAATGTTTTTCTATTTTATTATATTTTTGCTGGGGCTAAAAGGGAACTTGTCCTTCTCATTTCTCCTTCCCTGTTGACTCCAATGCATTTCGACAAATTGGGGACATTTTGATGACATTCTTCGATTTTCCGCAGACCTTTTCGAGTGAATGCAAACTCTCAATTCTGCCTATTCGTTAAATATAAATTAATTAAAGAAAAAATTTAAATACTGAATACTTGATTGTCTCCACCGGGAATTACAAATGTTAACTGTTCATGTTCCTCAGATTGTTATTTCTTAATTAGTTTTTTTTAATGAATTTTTCCTAGTTTTTACATAATTGTATTTCATTTTCTAATCTTTCCTTCCCGCTGCTTTCATATTTCTGACACTCGTATTTATTGAATGCCGATGCCATTTATGGTTTTCTGTTACAGATTAGCTAATAAACAGGAGAGAGCCTTCGCACTGCTGCCCAGTGAAATCATTGAGCTCCTGTCGCTGGAAAAATTGGTGAACGAGAATAAGACGATTTGCAGAATTGTACGTCCATTTTTATTTTTTAATTATTAATTTGATCAATTCATTAATTTAATTAATTTAATCGATTTTTGATTAAAGGAGAACTATGGGGTCAGGGCTTTTCCCCCATAGTTCTCCTCAGGGTCACGGGAGAGCACAAACTAGCGTTCTCCCGTGACCCAAAGCTCAGTATATAGGGAGCTACAGCTCGCGGTATACTGAGACGCCGCAGCCGGGACGGATCCCGACATCACTGTCTGGATCCGCCCAGCTGAGTGATTGACAGCCGGCTCTGCCTATCTAGAGGCAGAGCCAGCTGTACCCGCCCCCTCCTCTGTCTGTTCC